GCTACCTCTTCAACGCCGCAATGCAAACTATCGAGTTCGGTAAAAGCGGTACACGTCGAACTCGGAACAGACACCTGATTATTCGCAAATACAGAAGTGAAGTGCGTCGCCAACGCGGACGCACGCTCAGTGCTGGAGGTTAGGGGCTGTCCATCCGTGGCATCCAGCACTGGCACATCACCTGAAGGCTTCAGGCGTCGCTTCATATATGCAAAGATTCTCTTTGGGTCGGTCTTCGCAGCTAATGCGAGCTGCTCTTCAAAGTGTCGGCGTTTATTCTTTTTTGCACCGTTGCAGAAGTTCCGCTGACATTTATGCCTTTCGCAATCATTGGCAGAGCCAGAGAGGAGGAATTTGTCCCAGCCTGCGCCTCCTCCGAGCCAGGTTTCTATATTCCTTGTCAAACCAATGAGGCTTAATCGGTCCAACCTTCCGACATTTTAATGACACAAATTGGGAACACAATGATGTCAATCTCTCTTTTATAAATATTCAACAATCTTCCACAGATGCAGCTTGTGACAGAGACCAATCCAGTTGGCTCGTGGCTCGAGCTAGACCATCGAAGTCCGTTTTCCAGTAGTTGGGAGCTTGTCGCAGCGGATGTGAATACGGCAAAGATAATTCCATATCAGCTATCAGTACTGAGTGGTCGCTCGTAGCCAAGGGCTCCAGAATCCTAATGTTACGCACTCGTTGTTCGTAGCTCGTTAACATCAGGTCGAGACAGGACGGGGTTGAACGTGTTGATATGCGTGTTGGCTGGCATATGTGTTGCGATGCACCCGTTTCAAGTACCAAATCCACGAACTTTGCTTCAACCTCACTATGTCCAGGCATCAAATGCACATCAGGCCATCGTATTCGAGGACAGTTAAAATCGCCCATAAGTAGAAAGTGTGGACGACTCATGTGGGTCCGAAGAATGGGCAGCCAATCCAAACAACGACTCAGGGGACTGCGATAAAATGCGCCCACGAGCAGTTCTCCGCGCCTGAGGCGGATGGAGCACCACAGTAGCTCACACAGGCCATCGTCACTTCGGTAGGTGCTCACAAGTCTCCCACGCAGGGAAGACCGGATGTAAAGTAAGACACCACCGTGGACATTCTTTAGTCTATCGCATCGGAGACACGAGTAACCGTCGAGTTCAAGTTCTTGTGTGTATAACTCTGCATGCAACCATGTCTCTGCGAGTCCCACTACGTCTGGCCGCTCAGACGCAACGAAACAACAAAGCTCATCGCGCTTATTCATAATACTGCAAACGTTTGTGAAGGCTACTCGCAGGTCGCAGCAGGAGCCACCGGGCGTGCTTGAAGTGTGAGCAGCCTGTTTATCCTGATTCGCGGATTGTTGGAAACCACCCGAAAATTTACGATACGAAAATTTAGTTATGATTATCGACTTAGAGAAGTCGAGGATGATATAGAAAAAGAGCTCTTTGCAGGAAGGAGAATACAGTATTTTGTCAAAGCATTAGGAAACGAAAAATAAATGGACCGCTTGAACTTTTGAGCCTTATACAGAAACAGAACCTTGGGGAATCTGTACCGAGTGTTGTGATCTTCCTGTGCATCTTCTTTACCCGAACTATTGACATTACCATCTGTGGACGCTCTTTCCAAAAACCCAAGCTTATAAACAGTACCTTCGATCAGCAATGAACCGGACAAGGCTCACTGACTTGGCAGCTTTCTCCAGAGAGGGAGGGCTTGATGATGGACTGATTTTTAATAGTTTTATCGATAGTTTTGCAGCAAGTAAGGTGCGATCACTGTGTCTGTAAGTTTTGTACACGAGTATGGTAACAGTACAAATGCCTACACATGTAGCAGCACTCTGAAATAAGATCTTTGATTGCTATTTTATAGGGAAATAGTGGACGGGCTGTTTGCAATTATGATGGTCTACTGAATAATATCTGCCAGGGGCGGCGAAAATCTTACGATCGCTCCGAGCTGGAAAAGCAGTTGCTACGTCACTACAGTGCAGCAATAATATCGGCACACGAATGGCTAAGGTACAATGCATTTGGTGGCGATTTCAATTCATGCAGAATGCCAGTCCAGCAGTTGAGGAAGTTGAAAAATAGGAGGTTGCACACTACTGTCACACAGTCATCGCGAGGAGACTGGACCTTAACGTAGTGTAATGGTTTGTGTGCCTCAATGATCCATTGAGCTACGCTGCGTGGTGCTTTTTGCACTTTCAGAGCCCCTGAAACCAGATTGGTCTATGGTTAAAGGTCTGACAAAATCAGTCTCCTGGTCCTCCAGATTGGGGGTTAAAATAAGGGTGGCTCCGTACTCCAGCATACGGGGTCTCTGTAGTCCAGTGTCAAAACCCCGCTGTCTTGTGGTCAGGTTTTTAAACCAAAGGCTTTGGTTGAGAACATTAAGCGTTCCCCTGTTTAGGCCTGGCCAACGTGACAGTATCTTACCCACGCAATACAACACCATGACTTTTCCTTCTAAGAATCTCTTGATACCCTGGACATCGCAGACGATAATCAAATGGGTCCTATCTGCTGCATCGAGCAGGGTGGATAAGGGTTTGGATGCTACTGATCAGGGCTTAGGGTCTTCTTACTCCCCCTCTTGCACTTTTTCATCCTTAACGTCCCGCTCCAGTTTAACTTTTATCCACCGTGCCTTCAATCCCTCAACCCTTGGTCCTCGCTCACCTTGCTTCAATAGCCGCTTGTCTTCCAGTTGCAACTCACACACATTCGCAGGGGGTCGCTCCAGTCCAGTCGACAAGACCATGTTCAACCAAGCGGACAACGTCAGTTCATTTGTTTCCCTTTGGAGTCCTCGATCTTCGCTAAGACTGGCATGCCACAACGTGCGCGCTTTGCTACAGATTGGCCAACAGCCAGCACTTGCCTGAACACTCGAGACCCTATCGATCGATAGTTGCTGTTTATCAGAAACCCGCCCGCAAGATTCGAGCTCCGTGCATACCCTGCGAGCCCCCACATGCAACACTGGCAGGACAATCTCATTGCGCCTTTCTGACGATGATGCAGCTCCAAATGCCGGTCAAGCTGGCGTCGGCATCGTTTTAAGTCCCCGGGTTGGAGCTGCAGTGATCCCAGTCAACAGCCGGATGTGCGCCGTTAGAGTAGTGGTTCGTTCCAGGCTTCGAAGTCGCACGGGGACAAACGGTGCCAGGCTGAAGACATTTCTTCAGTGGCCCAAATCGTGTTAAAAAGAGTAGCAAGTCCAGTCAATAAAATAGTCACCGCCATCTTTCATCGAAGATAGGAGAAGGTCATCAGGTCCAGGAGCCTTGTTTCATTTTAAAACGGCGAGTTCATGTCGAATCTCCTCCAAAGTGGGAGGTGTGACATCTACTTCCAACGTCAGGTCAGGTGTATCGGCAAGCGGCAGTGTCGCAGCGAGCCTGCTGAACTGCTTCTCAAAATGTTCTGTCTAACGCGCTAGCCGACGATGTTGAGAATGGATCAACAGTCCATCTTTCTCAGCTATTGTCTCGCCAACTGATGACTCTCTCAGACTCGTATTCCAAATGAGCTGGAACAGCACCCAGCTGTTCCCAATAGCGTTGGCTTTCTCCATCTCACGGGCTTTTGCAACCCAGCAACGTTCTTGGTCAACTCGAAGACTCCTTGCCATGTGTCGTTTCAGGGAGTCACGGACACGCAGCACCCACAAGGGTGTGCGAATGGCGTAGATAAGTCAGACAAGCCAGTCCAGAGGCCCGAGTAATTGGAAAAGGTGCAACTGGAAATCATCACTAAGCTAACACAGGTATTTTGGGTGTAATGGACAAGATCGTCATAAAGTGGACAACCGAACCAACAAGAATATAATTAGAATGGAGCGATAAAGGCATAGGAACAACCGTGCAGGAACTAACCGTCCAAAAATAATAAAAGAGTTCATCGTTTAGCCAAGATGAGCCGAGTCTAATCATTTTGCGGCTTCTCGTCAGTCGTTTAAACACCATTGGTAGAAATGGAATGTTGCATACAGAGCTATTCAAGGTGAAACGTCATTGATGAGTCCCAAACGGTCAAAGTTAATCTGACACTGGCCGGCAGTCCGCATAGAGGAATGTGGCCACCGGTCTCATCAAGCCAAGGTGAGACTGGCGACAAACTCAGTTGCATCCGCCTAAATGTCGGAGTCCCAGCAAACGGAAGCATGCGGGCTGCGCTTTCGATTGATTATCCCAACGGATAAACGAGGGTTTTCACACATGGGACAAACAAGGATGTCAGGTGATCGAAATGGTGGGCAGCTCCGCACCATTCTGGTCCAGGTTTGGGGGAATATGCTACAATATCCTCGTGGACAGTCCTCTCATTTGGGCCGGCGTAATCGCCATTGTAATTACAGCAAAACGGGCGGTAACTCGAGAGTCTGTCCTGTTCATGTTTGATTTAAACGGGGATCTCTTAATCTGGTGTAAAATCACAAGCTCAGTACGGTCAAAACAATTTTTATGGATTGACAAAGGTGGTATCTGAATATCCGGTCAGTTTGGTCGCCTTTGAATGGTAGCGTTACAAACACTTTTCTCTTAGGGACGCCGGGCACACGCTCGTTCCTAGTTTTCTCGTTCGCGTTTCAGTGCCGTGCTATTAACTTCCCAGGATATCTGTTTTCGCGTAATGTCGAGGAGGCGCGTTGTAGCTCACATTCAATCGTTTAATTAGAACAGAACTGGCGAACTTTAGCAAAAGTGATAAGAAGCAGAGCTCGTTTGTAATTCATAGGAAATATAATGTTATATTATCCCATCAAGGTAGATTTGTGGTAAACGGATCGTATGCGTGAACCATTCGGGTTACTTACACTAGCTTGGATGACTCTGTATGCAACCTAGCCATTCTACTTATTGTATGTAAACGGCTGACGAAAAGACGCATACTGGCTGGATTCAGATTAACCTGTCGAAACGATGTTCTTTCTCGTCGTTTGGAAATTTGTGAAAGGAAATTAGGTAGAGATTTCGAAAGAAACTAACCGTTCACATGCGAAATAACTGAACTGTATAGGAGAGAAGATTGGATGAGCTGACAATCAGGGTAATCGAATTTAAAATACAACAGACCTAAAGCGATTTCCTTGAGGCACCGTCGAAGAAGTGTCTCCACAAAGGGTGTAATCATGTGAATAAAAGGTGAGCTTCAAGTCAACGAGGCCTGTCATGTCGAAAACGTTACCTTCATCGTATTGTGTACTTATATGACGAGGCGAGGTAATGTGGTCAAGGTATCACAACCGGAGCAAAGGCCAACCTGGAGTGCCGTCATTCCACACTCAAGTAGCAGTAAACAGTTGGAATATAATGCATACGATGAACACGGAAAGTACGATGACTGCCTTCATCACAATGTTGGTCGAGCAAAAAATGGTGAAGGCTACCCGATGAAAAAGCTGTTGAGCATATGGAGGCGTGAATTGACATGTTCACACACACTTCTGAGCAACAATTTGATTCAGTGTCAATTTAGTTGGAAAAGCGGAAGGGTACAGTTCATAACAAGGATATATACGTTTGAATAACGTAGTAAAAAGTGCAGGTCGAGTAACGAGGCCGAAAAAAAGTGAAAATGCCAAGTGTTTGAAGCGAGATGCACAGTGGACGTTCAGATAAACAATTTTGCCTGAAAATGGATCGAAAACGACAGAGTGAGAAATGAAGTCGAGTGAATTCGGAACAAGAATGAAACCAGTCTAGGGTGAACAAGATAAACGAAAGAAGGCGCCGGATGAGTTGGGTGAGTTCTACCGAGGAAGCACTGGTTTGATTGTGTCGGTTATCATTAAAAAAACTCATCGTCGGGAAATTCTCCGAAGGAGAGTAGAGCAGTTTATTGGTAAATGTTTGCTTAGTCATGCAGTGTGTGTTTATCCAATAACATGACAGTACTTAGACGAATATCCTCTGAAGGCACTACCGTTTGAAATGAACATCTATCTAGGTAGATTGCATAGTTGCAGGTGGAATCCAGCACCGTGCAGTGACAACGGTAACAAGCGAACGCAGGTAGTAAACATAGCGAAAAACAGGTATCTAATTATTTCTGCGCATCCATCGAAAAACTTGAAGAGTAGTAAATGTCAAATAAACCTAAAAAAACCAGTAGTAATAAAGATGAAGCGGACGTTCGCACTGGATGGACGCTTAAGTAATAATGGCATACTGCAACAAAACCCGGAAGTGATAGTTCCGTGCAAAAACAGGCTATCTACTGAAAAATACACTGGGAAATAGTCATGTTATCTCACTGCCATTCAGCATCGCCTAGTTGTATTATATGTGGCCATTTATCTCTAGATTTCAAAGAAAATGTCCATCGGCCGATGACAGATAAAGTCACCCAAGTGGTCTACCCGAACACAATGGCTATCAAATCCATCAAGCGAGTTGTTTGACACGGTGTGGTCAAGTCAAGTATGTGCTTTATGCACACATGAGGGGAGAATATCCAGAGCATGAGCTGACGCTGCATTGCAACCATGTGCTATGGTGAGTGTGGAATTTGCGTCGAAGTGAAAAGTTAAGAAAGCGATTTTGTGACGTGCTGACTGAAACATTTTTGTTTTACTCCGGATGACTGATTATGCTAGTGTTGCTGGGAATCGAATCAGCGACCTTATACCGGTTTCGTAATCGAAGTGAAGGTGTGATTGAATGATGCGACTATAATGTAGAAAAGAAAGTTCGTTCATGTCGATTGCGCCAAGTAGGAGTTAGCCAGGTGCCCGCACGGAGCTAGCAAATGTAACCACCGTCAACACGACAATAAGTTCACTGACCAAAATGAGCATAACGCCGTGGAATCGAAGCCGAATCGCTTTGAAGCTCCAAGTACAGAAACGTCAGTTGTGGTGAGTCAGATGAACGAAGCACCATATACGGTTCCGGGCGCGAAATATTGCCAATATAAAAGACTAACAGAATCCTGAATGCGAAAATGGAGGATAAATACTCAAAGTGATCATAAGCGATACGTACATCTTGAAAACGGAACGTGCGATAAATACGACATACGGGTCCGCAATACGTTGAATGGCATCTGCGGCATGGCAAATGGCAGCCGGGACACGATTCACGTAAGCAATCACAGGTGTCTGCCAGTGATCCCATAAGACGTCCACGAGAATCGTACATAGCGGGCGAAACGCTGATTGAAAACAAGAGAAAATGGCAATCATTCAACTAAATGCAGAGGACGCTAAAGGACGACAAAGTCATCCATACGATTTAAGTTGGGCAACCAAGACCTAAAATTTCATACAAGACTTTCCCCTGCCCACTCTGTGTAAACTGACCGAGTTCGTCGCCAGTTTTGCCTCGCCTGGCGAGATTTGTGGCCACAATCCTCTAAGCGGAGTGCAAACCAGCGTCAGATGAACTTTGACCGCTTTCGATTCATCAATGAGGTTACACCTTGAATGTCTCTGTATGCACGTTACCCACTCTACCAATCGTACGTGAACGGCTGTCGAAATGTTGTTCTACCCTGCCATTTCGAAGCAAGGTTTAAAAAACGGAAAGGAAAATAATGCAATGAGGAGCTGATCAGACACGAGAAGATAGAGCATGGAGATACCAGGAATAGAGAGGCACTATAGTGAGAAAGATGCTTGAGTAATATGTCAAACGTTATAGGCTAATAATAAGACAACTGAATTCTTACGAGAAGAAGTCAGTAAGTGAGAGTTCAATCCAGAGTGGCTAGCGAAAAAAGTAGCGAGACAGATGAAGGTGCAAGTCAGGACCCGTGAGTACCAGCAACCAATGCGATTAATGTGTTACAGCAGTAAACTCGTTACAACATTAACCGAAGCCCCACACACATGGAGAATGTATTGCCAATGTGAGATACAAAATTGATACTTACTCGCGCTCCTTCCTAGTGTAACGATGAGTTAGCTGTTTGCGATAGTTTCGTGTCAGGTTGCCTTCGGGCCAATTGAACTGTAAATCCTTCATGGCCTTGCCCGGATTGAGGAAGCGTAGACGACCCAGTTCACGATTTTCTACGGAACCATTGGAGCTGGTGTTGGTGTGCACAGGTGTGGTTGACTTCCTTGCCTTTTGCAATGTTTGACGATCATCTTGTTCTGTTGGTGCGCAAGTCGCCACTTTGTAAGTTGTGCAAGGAGAATTCGTTATCGTCCACCGAGGTTTTGAAGACATAAAGAGTCAGCAATACAGGAAAATAGACCTAAAAATAATGTGGAGCAAAGAGTGCTGCAGCAAAGGACCGATCACTGTGAAAGACCTTTATACAAGATAATGGTGCGGGCGGAACAATTCGGCATAGAGCAAAACCAGTCGTTACAGACTTGGTAAAACAGGTAGAAGCGAATGGTCACAAATGGTGATGACCATGCCCAATTCGTCGCCATAGGTTGGTAATTCATTGAACGAAATAAACAAAATGGTAGAACAGGTAAGCAAAATAAAGTGGACAAACTGAGGATTAAAGCTCATCTGGGGGGTGTCAAAATCCGTTTAGAACCTCCGTCAGAGGCCGAGGTCCGAAACGCGATCACAGCCCTCAATCGTTTTCGTGCCGCTGGCCCGGATTCCCTCCCACCTGCACTATTTAAGGATGTAGCTGAGGTCCTCTGCAAAGCACTGACCTCCTTATTCGAATGTATCTGGAAGGAAGAGAGTGTACCGGCTAATTGGAGCGAATCGATTATAGTGGCAATATACAAGAAGGGCAGTAGCACAGACTGTTCTAACCACAGGAGTATTAGCCTAACGCCAGTTGTGACAAAATTACTGGCCGCGATTCTCGTTCGTCGCCTCACTGTGGTAAGGGAACGTCGGATCAGGGAAGAGCAGGCAGGTTTCCGCCCAGGAGGTGGCTGTATAGACCATATATTCACATTGCGGCAGGTGCTAGAGCAGCGCCACGCATACCGCAGACCGACAATACCTATGTTCCTCGATTTCAAGAGTGCGTTCGATTCAGTCGATCGATCGATTCTGTTCGAAATACTTGCGCGGAAAGGTATTCCCACGAAATATGTGAACATCCTTCGTGCTCTATACTCGAACACTATAGGCCGCGTCAGGGTCTACCGTGTCCTATCGGCTAGCTTTCCGACCACAAGTGGCGTTCGTCAGGGTTGTCCGATTTCCCCATTTTTGTTCAATTTCGTCGTGGATTCCATCATGGAGTGTTCCCTTGCGGAATCTCACGATGTAGGCGTCGAAGTGCTGCCTGGTGAAAGGTTAGTTGATCTAGATTATGCAGATGATATCGTCTTGCTTTTCGACGATGTTGGGGCGGCACAGTCAACCCTGAATAGCCTGTCCAGAGTGGTCCCATTATTTGGTATGCACTTCGCACCTTCAAAGTGCAAAGTGTTGCTGCAGGACCACCAGCCACTTGATGACCCCTTGACCCTTGCTAATGAGGAACTCGAGGTGGTTGATCATTTCACTTATCTTGGCAGCTGCATCAGCAACGATGGGCGCATAGAAACTGACGTCAGCTCACGCATTGCAACGGTCAGAGCTTCCTTCTTGAATCTGCGTCATCTTTGGTGACAGAAGAGAGTTTCCCTCCGTTTGAAAGGCCGTGTATACAAGGCCACCGTGAGGGCCGTTCTGCTCTATGGTAGTGAAACTTGGCCCCTTCGGTCTGAAGATCTGAGGCGCCTTCAAGTCTTTGATCATCGTTGTCTGCGAAGCATTGCTGGAGTCGGATGGCATCAGCGTGTCCGCAGCGATGATGTGCGTAGGCGAGTACTAGGAAGTGATAATCATGCTTGCTCTCTAGAACAACAGATAGCACTGAATAAGTTGCGTTGGCTCGGGCACGTGCTACGTATGCCTGGTCACCGCTTACCTAGGAGGGCCTTGTTTAGTCTACCAGGTGTAGGGTGGTGCAAGGCTCGAGGTGGACAGAAGTTGACTTGGCAGCGGGAAATGAAGTCACTGACTACTAAACTGGGTGCCGTTGGTCCGTCTCGCCTTCCGGGCTGGAGTCCACGTGACTCGCCTTGTGCTTGGCTCGAGACTACAGGACATGGCTCGCAACCGACACCAGTGGCGCGTGTGCTGCCGTCTCCTAATCGGATTGCCTGTTTAAATTGTGTTTGGTGCTGAGTTATCTGCGAGGTAATGGCTGATTATGACGCGTGGCAGTGAAAGCCGCAAGGAAGCTGTCTCGCCGATGCCGCCTTATCTTTGCACGATAGCCAGCTGTTTGTGACGGTATGTTGTTAACACAGGGTGTAGGCGCCTTGACCCAGAATGTTTGCTTAGGGCATTCAGGTTTTCAGGTAAGTCCTCCTTCTCTCCCTCTTCTTATTCTTTATTTCATAGGTCCTCATGGTTGTATGGCAGCGAAGCATCAGTTCAAATGGCTGATGTACTGCTGTTGATGATGATGTAAAAATCCGGAGTTTTGGTGAAAAAGTGCTCAGACAAACTAGGGTTGTAGGAATGATCCGGTACTGCAGATGAGAAGATAGATGAATGTCAATGGTGCTGAAAATCACGCACGAAACGATCCACGGATAATCATTTTAGTTTAAAATAAACTTTCTTAGACTAGAGAAAAGCGTGAAAGCGCCCAGCGACTGTTTCTAGAAAGAACAAATGCATAAGCTTAGACAACGGACCATATGCGAACCCAAATCAAATTTAGTCAGGAGGAGGGGGGAGAAGAATCCGACATGCATGAGAGGCCATGTGCATCTACAGTGGACTGTACCTAAACCAGACATTAAAGTGTCGCATGCAGAGAACCAGAAAACATTAGGTATGGTGACTGCCACGAGAAAGAAAGAGTCACACTAGAGGTTGAAACCGGGAAATCGCTAGCGGAGACAACTGAAGGCATAGCGTCCAGAAGTATAAGGCATATGCATGGTAACATAACAAAGCCAAAAAATTTCCGCTACATTGTGCAAGCAAATACCAGCAAGATGTTCGTAAACACATGACAAACTTGTTCATTTTTTCAGTTAAGTGAGCTGGTATCCAGTCACAATCCTAAAGCACAACCGAAGGAGGCATACTTCGAGAACAAACATGTGCAATATATGTCAGGTGTCACCCGCTCACAACACTGAAATCCACGACTGATTTCGTACTATTTGGCAGTCATCAAGCAGAGATAGCACAACAGTGACTAGACCACGTCGACAATACTCCCTCTTATTGTTTTTCTCTCCCTTCCCCTCACCTTTTCTCCGTCTATTGTGCAAGAGACTTCCCCTGACCTCGCAGCTGCTACCGTCGGTCCAAGTAGCTCTTCCACCAAACCTAGGGTCGCATTTCGCATTAGTTCTTTTAACGTCCGCACTCTGGATCACATTGACCAGCAAGCAGGACTGACTCTTACTCTTCTATCTCTTGTTATTCATGTGTGTTGTGTCTCCGAAACACGCATACAAGACAACAGTATTGTGACAAATTTTCGACTCTCCAGTCCTGAATCTGACGACGATGGCTATACTCTTCGCATCTCTGGCGATACTGATTCAATAGCTCAAGGTATTTGCGGTGTTGGTATCGTCCTCAGCAAACATGCTGAAAACAAGCTCCTAGGCTGGATACTGGTGAACAGCCGCATGTGTGCGGTTCGACTTCGAAATACTAATGGAGTTAATAAGCAGCGTCTGAAGCCAAGGTGCCTTTTCATCGCCACAGTTTATGCCCCTACTGAATGAAGTTCAGAGAGTATCAAAGACGATTTCTATCGACAACTCTCATCTCTTCTTCGCATGGCGAAGAATGGCGACATTGTGATCGTTGCCGGTAACTTGAATGCCTAAGTGGATCGTTGTGCAGACCCTGAACAGCAGTTGGGAGGGTGCTTCGGAGTCGACGCACGTCGTACAGACAATGATGATCGATCGCCGCAACTGTGAGCCGACCACAACCTTCAACTCAGCAGCACTGCTTTCCAGCACAAACGTTCATACTGTGTCATCTGGCGCGCACCGAATCCCTCCATGACCTGGACCCAAATTGACGACATTGCCATCAGCTACAGACGGCGCACATCAGTACAAGACTGTCGGTCAAGTTGGAGCACGTGCCTGAATTAAGACGATGCTCTGGTGCGCGCAAGCTTAGCGCTCACTCTTCCCGCTTCAAAGAACTGTCTACCTACTAACCTTCTTACCTGTCACTTGAACTCGCAATATGCAGTTCAACAATATCACGATGAACTGGCACACCAATTGACGGTAGGTGAGCCGGACAGTGACTGGAACCGTCTCAAATGTGGCACCCAAGTTGAGACGTCGTAAATGCAAACGGACCTGAGGCATCGGCCAGCTTGATCGAAGCACGGAAACAAGTTCCATATGGCACTGAGTTTCAGGGTGTTCGTAACTCTCAGAAACGACGCATCACAAGGAGTCGTCTAATCGACCGGGAATGTTAATGGTTCACAACGGCCTGTGAGATGCAGAAAGCCAGTGCTATTAGAAACAGCCGAGTTCTGTTCCAGCCCTTTGTTGACTGGACTCGCCACTCTAGATAACACGATTTGGGACACTGAAGAGGTTCCTTCAGACTGGCGACTGTCGTGCTCATCTTCAAGTAGGGTCAGCGTAGTTTGTGCGAAAATCCTAGAGGCATCAGCCTTGTTCCCACTGGATCCAAACTCCTTACGGGTATCATATTCCGACGACTTACTGGTCCCCGTGAGAACCGAATCACTGAAAGCTAGGCTGGCTTCCACCCTAGCCGTGGTTTTATCGACCATATATTTACTCTCCGCCAAGTGTTAGAGCAGAGACAGATATACAGACGACCGACTATGGTGGTCGTCCTTAACCTGAAAACTGTTTTCGACTCTGCTGATCGCGCCAGCTTGTGGCACTACCGGTCCATGAAGGGCGTCCCGCTAAACTCCTTTCCATTCTGATGTCCCTCTAACGGGATTCCCGAGGCCGTGTAAGGGTCTACGGGAGATTGTCTCCTGAGTTCTCCACAACAAATGGGGTTCGCCAGGGATGTCCTATATCTTCTTTCCTCTTTAACTTTGTTATCGAAATGACTATGAGTGACTCCGTTCTTTCAGACTCTGCCGGAGTGGAAATTCTGCCAAGTGACTGATGACAAACCCGGAGTACGCGGACGAGATAGCTCTTCTTGGGTCCGACGCAGTGGCTATGCAAACACTGCTGGATAGACTGGCGCGTTGCGCCGCACCCATCGGCACGTAGTGTGCATCCTCAAGGTGCAA